GTATATTTTCTTGGTTTTTCAAATAAAGATATAATAGTGCTAAAAGTCAGTATTGGCTAACTTTTCGAAGGAATGATATTCGAACTTAAAATTTTGGGGTTGGTGGTTTTCGACATTGTTGCGTTGAATGAGCAAAAAACATCAAAAAAAATTTTTTACCCAGTGCCTCGTATATTGGAATGATACTCGATGAGTTCATGGAAGCTCTCTTGAGTTACTCTTTTAATGTTTATTTTAAAATTACAGAAGATAAAAAAAATAGAACATCATTATTGGAGTTTGAAATGAATAAAAGAAAATTTCCATTATGAAACCTTCTTTATTGTACGGCTCTTCTAAAGGGTTTGTGTTTTCTCTAGAGAACCTTTGTAAGTTTAATAAAATATCATCATAGAAGAACAATATTCTATTGCATCTTTTCCTTTTGACAAAAGCTACTCAAGTACTTTATTTGACAGAAAATTTTGATTAAAACAAGTTTTACTAGTTTGCAAGTTATTCTTCTTTTTTTGTGAAACACGGTCTGAAAAGAATGCTGAAGTATAGAGCCATACATTCGATATCTCCAGATCCTTTCATGTCTGTAGAATTAGGTAAAAGGATGGTGAAGCAATGTTTCACAGAAGATAGGTTAAAGTAATTTCCTGTCGTTAGCAAGTGCAGCTACATCGTGTTTCACATTTTAATCCAGCAGAGGTTGTGCTAACAGCTTTCTATCATATATTACAGTTGAATCATAATAATATTTTACAAGAAATAAATAAAACTTTTTAAAATAATATCTTTCACTAGTAATCTATGTGAATATAAATCAAATATTATTCAAAGATTAAAACCTTTGATAAGGTCGACGCATTTTTTTATGACTTATGACTGTAATTCAATGACAAAATTGAGCCATTTTTACGTTACATTATCAAAAAATATGTAATTAATTTGATATATAATAGAGGTGGTGTTGCCTTATGTCTCAGTAATCAAGGCCGTCGTAATGGTGAAGCATTAGTTCGTTTTTCAACAGTCGACCATCGAGAATTAGCTCTACGTCGACATAAACATCATATTGGACAACGTTATATTGAAGTATATAAAGCATCCGGACGTGATTTCCTGAATGTTGCTGGAGGTAAATGATTCTTTAATAATTTCTTTATCTTCTTTTTTTTCTACTCAAATGATTCACTGATTTTTATAGCGTACCGAAATGATTTCTTTCATCTGAATATAGTACTAATCATTTGTTGTTCCTAGATTAAACCGATATATGATTTGAAAGAGAAAAATTTTCTTTTCCATTGCCGGTCAATGATCTCTCTTTATACTTAAAGCTTCCGGATGATCGATTTCTTTCTTTTTCTGTTCAGTCGAAAAGTCGTTGATCATTAGCAAATGACAACATATTGATCATCGTAGGTTATATAAATAAGAATGACAAAGGAGAAAAAAAGCCATGAACGAATATCCTATCTCTATTTACTCGAAGATTAAAAAGATTCACTTATGAATAATAATAATGAACAATGAACATCAAGTAAATCATATTATTATTGAATTGTGTTCTGTTTGATGTCTCGACAAACTCAAACATTGTCATTGATAGATTTTTATTAGAGAAAAAAAAAAAAGAATATCTCTATTGAAAGAAACAAAAAACGTTAATCTAATCTTTTCTGTTCTGTTTTCGATTATTGTATATACATCGAAGATAAATTATTTTAAATCTTTGCAATATACATGCGTCCTTTTGCCATTATCATCAACACAAATAGAACGACAAGAAGGAAAAAAAACGAAGTAGAAATTGATAGGACAATAATATGATGGGTTCTTTTTCTTGTTCTTCTTTGTTAAAAAAAGAAAAAAGAAAAAGAAAAAGAGTACACACTTGTCAGTCGTCATGTATGTGTGTTCAAGCTACTAATATGTTTGTCAACGAAAATTTATCGTTCTTACTAACATGGTTGATGCTTGTCAGACGTGTTAAATACTTTACTATTTTCGATTTGATGTTCTTTCTTCATCATTCATTCACTTTCTTTTTTTTTAATCGAAAATGGTAGTCAATAATTGACGTTGGTGAGGTGTCTTTTTCATTTTTTTTTGTCCCCTTCTTAAATCATTTGCACAAAGAATACGAAACGAAATCACATCACACATAAACATATACAAAATAAATTCAAATTTTTTATTTTTTGCTCATATCAATAGTTCAATGTAATATATCAATGGGCAATACAAAAGGTGTATCTTACAATAGCAATTTATATTATCATTATTTAAATTATCTAAAAAGTTTGTATTTGAATATCTTGAAATAGTTTTTAGATTTATTCTTTTCTATATATTATTATTGAATCTGTTTTCAATTAGAATCGTTCTAGTGCACCTACGCGATAAAAAGTATTAAATAGTCTCCTTAGTATTACTTTCTTTGTGACACTATTAATATCTTGTAATCTTCTACTCTTAGAAGAAAAAAAAAGAGTGAAAATTGAAGAACACTAGTATACATTGTTGTGTTTTTGTTTCGCTTTTATTTAATACAATCTTATGTATAGATTCGGTGAGCGTATGTAGAGAATTTATCTTGACTTGATTTTATTTTTTTTGTGTCATATTTATTTGAATATCAATTTAGGATCAAATTCGGAAGCTCATGCATTTTTACAACGTGATGGACAAGTTATTATTCGTATGCGTGGTTTACCATTTGATGCTACTGCTAAAGATGTGGTGAGTTAAGTTTATATTTGAATCATAACATAATATAAAGAATTTCGTATTGCCTACAGTGGAAATATATCCATCTATTCAACTTCATTTTATGGCTATGAATAGGTTTCGATGAGACTAAGAAAAGCTTAAAAGGATTCGATCTCAAAGCCTACTGATGAAGGGTTATGATCATTTAAGGATAAGTGTAGATGTGAGTATGAGTGTGACTCAAGACCCTATCCCTCACTAAGCCTACACCCGCACCTGCCCTTTTTCGAAAATGCCTTGCTCTTACGAGGAAACATTCTCAAATCTAGTTGTACTACCCTTCCCAAGTTATTACAATCCACTAAGCATTTTGAACTCATGCAAAGTATGTGCAAAAAAATCGCAGGACAGAATTTCGGGAGACCGGAATTTCGGCCCAAGGAATTTTCGGCCCAGAGCCTAACTGTCTTCAGAATGACGTTAGGATGTGAGGGTGATGGTCAAAAATTCTGGGCCGAAAATTCCGTGGGCCGAAATTCCTGTAACCCGAATTTCAATCTGATAGTTTGCCCTTGGGTAGATCTCGTGTACCTAAGAATGCATTGGAAATTTCGGCCCAAAACGATGTGTTCTTCTTGAGATATCAAATGTTGAAAGCACTGAACTTTCTTGCCTGTCCATGTGACACGTGATTGTTTTAGGATATTCAATATCACAATAAGAATACGCCTTTTGGAGCTAGAGTTTTCAGCCCATTCTAAGATCCATCAGAGCTAGTCCTAGAAAATTAAACAATAACAAGAGAATTGAATGATTTATAAATGTATATATATATAGTAAATATTGCTTTGATTGAAGACAAGGTTTCATTGATAATTGAGGATACAAAAAAAAACATAATTTTAAAGGAATATAAGAAACATCTTTTGTTTCATATTTTTACTTTTTTTCTTTTTTTACAAACTCTTGTGGTAAAGAAAAATATTTACTTTACTTAGATCGAATTTTTTACTCGTGGTGATCAACCAACTAATATAATTGATGGTGAACAAGGTGTTTTATTTGTTCATTATCCAGATGGACGTAGTACAGGTGATGCTTTCGTTATGTTTAAAACTGAACATGAAGCATCACAAGCTCTACTTAAACATAAAGAAACAATGGGTACAAGATATATTGAATTATTTCGTAGTACAACAGCAGAAGTACAACAAGTTAGTTTGATAAAATATATGAATGTAAAAAGAACAGAAAGCTTCATAAAATATTTCTATAGGTATTTCGACGCAGTCAAGATCCAAAAAATTTTCAAACATCATTAAAAGACATTCCATTTGCACCATTACCTATGTTACCACCAGAAATGTTAACAGGTGGAAATAAAAAAGATTGTATTCGAGTTAGAAATTTACCAATAGATTGTGGTATTGAACAAATTTTAGAATTTCTCGGTATTCATTCTCAACATATTGTAAGATAGTTTTAATTATAATTAAATAAAATAAATCATTTTTCTAGGTTGCACATGGAGTTCATATGGTTTATAATTCACATGTATGATTTTATACTATGTCAAAGATTAAATCATAGTAGATCTTTTGTTTTTTTTTGTATTCTTAAGGGTCAACCATCAGGTGAAGCATTTATTCAAATGAATTCTGAAGGAGCTTCATTCAATGCAGCAACACATAAAAATAATAAATATATGTTTTATAATGGTAAAAAACGATATATTGAAGTACTTCAATGTTCAGGTGAAGATATGAATCATATATTACTTGGTCTTGTACCATCAAATTTAATTCCAACAAATGTTCAACCACAAATAATTTATCCATCTCATCGAAGTTAAAATAATATTAATCTCTAAAAGAAAATTCAATTTAGTTTTTTTAGCTACACCAATTGTACCTATATCAACATTACAATCACAAATGCTTCCATCAACAATACCAATGTCTTTAACGACTTCATCTCAATCATCAACAATATCAAATATTCCTCTATCATCAATACAATCTTCAACATCATCGACTTCATTAGTTACTGTTCCTACTATGAATGGATTTCATCCAAATACTACTTATTATCCTATGCAAATTTTTTACTATCCAACACCACCTATGTCACAATCAATTTATTTACAAACTGGACAAATCCCTACAACACCTATGACACTTGTTTTACGTGGTAAATTTTCTTATAATTATTTCTATTTCTATATGTCATTGATATTTTAGGAGATACTGGTCAATATTAATTAATATATGACATTGTCTTTCGTCTCATTTAGACAATACAGTGAATTGTTTTTCTTTTCTTTCTATTTATGTAATTTAAAATGTACTTACTTAGCATAAAAATCTATTCTTTCTTTTATCAAATGAGCAGTGTTTGTTCTATTATTCTTTCTCATTTGTTTATTGCTAATATGTATCTTCCATTTTACATTCTTATAAATGATAAATAATGTTTCTTTTTTTCTTCATATCGAATCTTAATATTGTTTTAAAGAATTATTGGTTTTCAATTTTTACTAAAACAATCAAATAAGAGATACAATGATAACCGTAAGCCACCAATCTATGAACATGTAACCACAAGCTAATGGTGAAAGTCACGTTTCTTTTTAAGTTCTACTGAGTTTTTCTTCGTATGAATTCGTTTGAATAATGTAGAAATTCGATCTTACCGTAAGTTTATCAACTTCGTCAACGTTTATCGTATATTTTTTATGTGTTTACCCACTTCACTGATCTTGACAGCGATTATTGAAAGTGAATCTCTGAGTAGAGTCATTGAAAGAAGCGCAAAAGAACAAAACACGTTTTTTTCACTACAATATCCTAACTCATAACAATCAACTTTTGGCGTTTCCTTGAATCCTTTTTTACCTGTCCACATGGCTTATTATGATGAGAATGAAACATTGAAAACATCCTTGACGATAAGTAGCGATACAAATCATTTATAAGGAATTACATAAAGACAATTAATATGATTTTAGATAAAGTAGTACGATAAGAGAAATGATGATTAGATGTCTAAAGTCTTAAAACTAGATAATCTATTGTGAATAATCTAGCTTGATATTAATATTAGTTTGTTTCAATCTGAAACACCAATATTCAACTAGGTACATTCAAATCACATCGTATTTTCAGGATATATTAGAACAGTTAGCTTATTTAGCAACCGAAAATTCTATATTTGCCCTTATTCTATGTATTTCATTTTATTTTTCTATTTTAAAGAACATATCAAACTGCAGTACCTGACGGCCCAGATGAATGATACCCGGCCGTAAACGGCCGTACACAGTCAAATACGGTGGAAAACGGCAGCCATGTACGATAGCTGTTTACAACCATCGTAAACGATGCATTACGGTATATTACGACCATCGTAAATGACTAACGTAAACTCACAGCGTTTACGACTCCCGTAAAAATACGACGACTGTAAACGACTATTGAACAAAGCCGTAAGTCATCGTATACGTCAGTGGTAAACGGTTCAATCAATGTTCATCGTTTTTTTGACATATTTTGTCGTAAACGGCCGTTGTCGTTGACAATCTACTCTTTTTAAATGTAGCAAGGGTTCCATCAATTCGACTCTAATAGATCTCAGTTTTCAAATCATGTTTTTCAAATCTGTCGAATTAGAAGAAGGAAGTTATATCCAAGTGTGGATCAGATGCATCAGAAAACTTATCTTATTATTGCATGTCTGAAAGGCAGTATTGAATCCTGATTACTTTCCACAAATGTATTTTATGCATTATTGCAGTTAAAATTTTCATATGCGTGTTCTCTCTCAAATATCGAAAAGTATTTTTTATTGCTGTCCTACCAATTGTATTCATAGTTCGATTAATTTAAGCGTGCTGATTACAAATATCATATTTTTTTCAAAATTATTAAGATAGAAAGAAACGTTCGACGACCTTTTTGAGAGTTCTGAAAGATTTTTTTGACCTGCAGATTCCTTGAAACTCGCTGCACTAAGGTGACACCTATCGTTCGACACCGCACTGGGTATTCTGATACGTATTTTGGATTAAGAGATAAAAAGTGAATACTTTTCCTTTAAAAAGATCTTCAACAGGCAGCTAAACTCTAACATTTCAAAACATGTAAGCGCAGTTTAAGTGCTTTTTATATGAAATTTTTGAAAAACTCATCTAATTATTTTTCTAGTAAACGTTAATCGTACCGTTGGTACTATCTTTTTAACCAAATAGTGTTCATCTTGCATTTTGTGACAGTTACATTTTTGAATCTATATAGAATGAACGAAGAGTTATTGTTGGCAATGAAGAAGGCCGGAAATAGTCATCAACAACGGCGTTCATTAATAAATGATATTTCTCGTAAACAAACAAACATAAATCTAGTAGAAGGCCTGTCTTCCTATGTTGTTGTGAAACTCACAAGTTTTGCCGATTGTACTTCTACAATCAGAGAAGTAGAAAACGTATCAGTGGCAATAGATGAATTTGATGATAATGCCGGCATTGACTTTGGTACATTTTTATCTGAAGATTGTGATCAGAAAATACTAGCTGATGATTCTGATGTTGATGAACTAGATGAAGCTCTGTTTTTATTAAAGTAACTGTTCTCGACAAAAGATGAAAAAGATTCTGTAGCATTGTACTCGTACACAAATGTATAAATTGTTGACTTTTGTATATCTCTTGTTACTGTATTTCAGCAAGCAAACCTTTCCAAAACATATTCATCAAATATCCTCCAGCTAAACCATTCCGTTTTACCTCAGCCTAATCACTTGCCAACATCGGTAAAAAAAACTCCTCAAGTATATTCATGGTAAATTGTGTTTTTTTTTTCATGAAGGACAAGTAGCTATAATGCCATTTTTTTATTGCTTCATGAATAAATTTAGTTTAAAAGGCAAATATATGAAAGCAATCAATAAAGTGGCAAAATTTTTGAAAAACTCTATATTATTTAATTGATTCGACGTTTCTATCTTCTATGAGTAGTATTCAACTTCATAGTACAAGTTAGTGGTATTCTAGAAAATGATTTTTTAGAAGATTAAAATGTTGAATTAATTAAATTATATAGGATTTTCCAAAATGTTGCGATTTTATTCATTACACTCACTTATTGCTCCACTTTGTTCATAAAATTATGTGTACACAATCAGCAATGACTTTGAACACACTACAGTATTTTATCTATTGCCCACATAAAGAAAATTTACGGCTTTGATCTTTAGCGAACTTTTCAAATTTTTTTTTGTCAAAAGCGTTTACATGATAGGTACGTTATTGACACTATGCATCGGAAATATCATAATTATTTTGGTTTAAAATACTCTAAGATGTCAGAAAAGGATCATAATGAGGGTGTGGATGTAGGTAGATGGGTATGGGTCTGACACCCCTCTACACTTGCACCCACGACCTACACCCACACCCCACACCCACACCCACACACAGTCACATCCACACCCCACATCCATACCCTTACAATTCCCGATCGATCGCTTTTCTGATGATAACACACGGTTGATTTTTCCAACCAATCCTATCAGGCCACCTTCAAAAACGAATGCAATGGATTTACAAGGTAAGCACTCATCTGCACACAGTTTTCACCAAAAATCAAAGTTTCTCCGACATGCAGTGTTTAACTATCGCACTCCATAGACAAGTGTTTCAACGCCTTTAAAGAGGTTTAAATGCCACGAAAGGGGTTTCAACACCTATAACGGTGTTTCAAGGCTCTTTATTGAAATGTCACGCACAAATTGACATTTTCAACTACAAGCATGCCTTGAGACTAGGAAAAGCATTCACAAGGCTCCTTTCTTGATAAGAACTTGCCCTCATGTGACTTACACTTCGCGATCAGTCGCTTTTCTGAGAATAACAAACGATTGATTTTCCAAACGAATCATAACAAGTGACGTCGAAAAACAAACTCAATGGATTTTCCAAGGTAAGCGTGCATCTACACGTTGTTTTTACGAGAATTGAAAGTTTCTGCGATGTTCCCTGTTAATTAAAATACCAGAAGCCTTTTGCAGGTGTTTTAACACCTTTAAAGGCGTTTAAGTGCCTTTAAAGGTGTTTCAGTACCCTTTATCAAAATCTGATGCACAAGTTGACATTTTCTTCTACAAGCACGTATTGAGACTAGAAACAGCGTTGAAAACGCTTCCATCTCGATAAGA